CTCTGTAGTTTTCACCTTTTGAGAGAAAAATTCAAAAATTAAAAGGTGAACAAGATGATTGTTGGACTCCGAATCTGTATAAATCCAGCTCGCTAACAAACGAAGTCTCTACTCACCTCCACGTGCAACAAAGAGTAATGTTTATTTAGTCCCATTAATGTCACAATTTTAGTCTCGATGACATTAATGTGGCATGAAATGATAAGTGATTAATTTCACTTTTCATTTAGTCTATCATTTAACGTCATCTAGATTGAGAATTGGGTTACATAGCATTACTCTTGAACAAAATATCAAGAATCAAAAAGTATTTACAGAAACAAAAATTGCAGAAAACTATAAAATAACAAGAATTTTCACCCACTAACGAGTTTGGATGTTAATGTACTCTAAACACTACTCATCCATTGAACATCTATAAATAAATATTGCTCTAGATCACTAAAATTGGCCAAGAATAATGTTCGTATAATGTATGAAGATTTCTTCACTATTTTCTCTCGCATCACAAAAATGATTCATCAGAGTAAAACTCATTTCAAACACCCTTAACATACACTCAGTACATCACATAATCCGCCAAAGATTACAAGATTGAAGAACAAAAATGAGAGAAAAACTCAAGAGACGGAAACCTTCAAAGGCTCACACACCTAAACTGTGTAAAAAATGGCCAAATGTGCCTTTTATATGCCACCACGAAACCACAAATCCAACATTTAATATTGCTCCACGTATAAGGCCATAATGCTCCCCAAAAACAATACCAAAGCCAAGTTTTAAGGAATGCAATTTTATAAAAAAATGCAGTAAAAAACCAATGCCAAGACCAAGTCAAAGTGAGGCAAAATTCCAACAATTACTTATGTCACCAAGTGTGAATATCTATAAACAAATGAATGAACTTGAAGTGTCTTATATACGGGACATGTGGCCTCACCCCCAACGACTCATATGTGAAGCGTCAAAACATCACATCCTTCATAGACCAGTGACCTCCCTCCCATTGTCATAGACAGGAATGAAAGTATTTAACTCCGAATTTTCGTATAGAAATGTCGCATCAATCACATGTGACTCAAAGTGTCAAATTAAAACTATCTTAACATTTTAGGCTTTCTAACTCTAACCGCTTTGAAGTCCAAAGGCCCGCCTATTCTAGCATAAGCTTAGGGTTTTAGGTACAAAATCCTAAACTCTGCTTTTGAATTCGTATTTTTCTTCTTTATAAACACCTCAAACCTCAAATGGCATCAACTTTTCGAGTCTGCAAGGAACAAACTGAACAATCTTCGAAGGTAGAGCTTTTAGAGAAGAAGCGAGTGTCTTGGAAGGTGTCTACTATGGATTCCAAGCTTGGTTTCTTGCTTGACCTCGCCTCATCTTAAGTATGTATTTTAGTAGCATCAAAATCGGTGACATGGTATTTTAACGATCTTTTAATAAACTTCTCTAACGATTCAAGTGAATAAATTAAAGAAAATATTTGAAGAAATCAACATGAACGATTACTGTTTTAATTTCTCTCTAAACTTTAATCCTATGAGGCTAGCCCTTGTAAAGTTTTGATAAGAGTAGCAAGATTAGTAAAAGCACATAGGGTTTCGAATCAAAATATATTACTGTTGTATATGTAGCTCATATAGAGTGAAACACAAGTTCACTGGATTAAAATAACCGATGCTGGAGTTGAGGGGAGTGGAGCGCTGAATAGGTTGGGGGTATTTTTTCTTGTACGGGCCCTAAAGTTCTGTATAGGCTTGGACTAAAGTTAGTATAAATACTAATAATGTAACCCTATTATTCATATTGAATTAAAATTTCCGCTTCATTCCTTGTGTTGATTTTTCTATTTCACTTCTCTATTATTTTACACTTAGAATCCAACAATTATTTAGAGCATCCCAACATATTTTTTAAATATAAGTGAATCTTTATAATTAAGTTTCATAGACTTTCTATTTTAATTTTTTAAAATAGAGTATTTTTTAATTTGAATAAGGTTATGTAACAGCAGTCTGGATATCTTTAATTAAATTGATTTAATAAGTTACAAATTTACATGCCTCATTTCTTAAATTTTTTATGCACAAAATGTTTTGTTTAAATTTAGGGATTGAATGCTTATATGACTATTAACTTCCACGAATGAACATGAGGCGTTAGTGAAAAGTAGAAGGTTCGATGGGGCCATCACAAATGCGGCGGTGCGCGACCCTTGTAATTGGAGCCACGCCATTTACAAAATTCCAATTCTTGAAATACGTATCCTATATGTCTACGCAAGAGGCCAAAATCTGATGTGAAGAACCCACCCACACCCCTCGAAGATAGGAGTCAGGGAATTCCGGTAAATCAATTCCCTATTTCAATAATTTATGCAAGCTAGCGTGGACCGTTGTAATTGGTAACTCTATTTTGACCTTTAACCTTGATGATAATCAGTGTTTTGAAAGGTGCGTTTAAACGTGTGTTTAACCTTGATGATAATCAGTGTTCTGAAAGGTGCGTTTAAACGTGAGGTGAGGTCAAAATCAGTGCGTTTTAACCTTGATGATAATCAGGGTTCTGAAAGGTGCGTTTAAACGTGCGTTTAACCTTGATGATAATCACTGTTCTGAAAGATGCGTTTAAACGTGAGGTGAGGTCAAAACGACAAACCTAATGGGTTATCGTTTTATTTGAATGTCAACGACAGTTGTTGACCACTAATGTACGCCTAGGCGCGCTTTTTTTTTTTTACAATTCTTTTGAAGTAAAAAATTATTAAATGCTAATTTTTTTCAATTTGCCCTAATTTAAAATTAAAATAACCATTTGAACTCAAAAGTCAAGTGACCAACTAATCTTATTTACGGTAGATAATTTCTTACTATTTACTTATGATCTTGTATTTAAATTTGAAACTTATATTTTTATTGAAACTTTTGAAAAAATGTATAAAGTTCATATAAATCTGTTTTAAATGTTTAGTAAGTATTATTTTTAATTGATTAAAAATTAAAATAATATTAAAAAAAGAAAATTTCTTTTTACGCTTTTTTTACGCATATGTCTCGCCTAAGCTCGACTAGTCCTGGGCTTGGCCTCCACGCATCGTCACGCATTACGCCTTTTAGAACACTGATGATAATTTATGGCCATTTTGCTACCTGGCCTGCGTAAACTCTATAGTAACTTTTAATGCATTTTTATTTTCTATATGCATCCAAATTTTTTAATGAAAAATCGGGATAGTCACTAGAAAGGAATTTATGCTTCAAAAAGGATAAAACAAATGAAATTGAGATAGAAATTTCAATGCAAGGCTTTTACAACTTCTTATATATTTTTAAATATTCAAGTTGAAGTCATTTTCACCATAAATTGGATATTAATTAATGATTATACACTTGCACAAAAAAAAAAGTGTAATTTTACCTGCCTCTTCACCCCCTCCAAAAGCCGGCCCCCTCTCTTTATCTGTCTTCCGTTATCTACCCAGTTTTACCAAATTTTAATATAGAGAACAATGTTTAAGCAATTTTCTTGGCATTTGGATAAGTATGAACTTGTAAGTAATGTTTCAAAGACATATCTATATGACACAACATTGTACTTTNTGGAAATTTTGAAAACATGTATAAAGTTCATATAAATTTATTTTAAATGTTTAGTAAGTATTATTTTTAATTGATTAAAAACTAAAATAATATTAAAATAAGAAAATTTCTTTTTACGCTTTTTTTTTACGCATATGCCTCTCCTAAGCTCGCCTAATCTTGAGTTTGGCCTTCACGCATCGTCACGCATTACGCCTTTTAGAAAACTGATGATAATATATGGCCATTTTGCTACCTGGCATGCGTAAACTCTATAGTAACTTTTAATTCATTTTTATTTTCTATATGCATCCAAATTTTTTAATGAAAAATCGGGATAGTCACTAGAAAGGAATTTATGCTTCAAAAAGGATCAAACAAATGAAATTGAGATAGAAATTTCAATGTAAGGCTTTTACAACTTCTTATATATTTTTAAATATTCAAGTTGAAGTCATTTTCACCATAAATTGGATATTAATTAATGATTATACACTTGCAAGAAAAAAAAAGTGTAATTTTACCTGCCTCTTCACCCCCTCCAAAAGCCGGCCCCCTCTCTTTATCTGTCTTCCGTTATCTACCCAGTTTTACCAAATTTTAATATAGAGAACAATTTTTAAGCAATTTTCTTGGCATTTGGATAAGTATGAACTTGTAAGTAATGTTTCAAAGACATGTCTATATGACACAACATTGTACTTT